GGGGAGGGTCAGAGAGAGAGGGAGACACAGAATCCGAAACAGACTCCAGGCTCCAGGCTAGCTGTCAGCGGAGAGCCCGATGTGGGGCTGGAACCCACGAACCGCGAGATCATGACCTGAGCGGAAGTCAGAGGCTTAACCGACTGAGCCACCCAGGTGCCCCTCAAAGATACAGTTTGATCTGAAACCTTCTGTACTGTCCACCATAAACAGTAGACCCAGAAAAATTGTTCTTGAGATGTCCAAATTTTTGTTAGTCTTCACTCAATAAGAGTAGTTATCTATATTCGGAGAAAAGGGATTCTTTTTACTCATTACTAGCAGCTGCTGGATTGTCTGAGGGGATCTCTCCCTGGGATTGTAGAATGCTTCTTATTTTCAATAGTTGAATAAAGGTCCTTTGATTTTTTAAATGCTTATTTATTTTTGAGAGAGAGAGCGAGAGCGAGTGAGCACAGGCAGAGGAAGGGCAGAGAGAGGGAGACCCCGAATCTGAAGCAGGCTCCAGGCTCTGAGCTGTCAGCACAGAGCCTGACACAGGGCTCAACTCACAAACCCTGAGATCATGACCTGAGCCAAAGTCAGACGCTTAACTGACCCAGCCACCAAGGTGCCCCTCCTTTGATTTTTTAATTTTGATTTTTCAAGCTGCTTTGCTTTTGAGGCCAGACCAATTCATTATTTTGTATGGATCATGCCCCTCTGCTCAAGGTGGATTCCACAATGTGAGTTTGATTAAGTATCCCAAATATCCCAAGTTGAAATTCTAAACTTGATTGACTTTATAAAATATATACCTTACATTTGCCAAACTTCTCTTTGGTCTACAGACCAGGGTTCTGCCAAAGTCCTTCCACATTAAGCCCTTTGCCTATGCTGATCCCTCTGCCAAGAAAGCTTTCCCGTGATTCTTTGCAAAGTTAACTCCTCCTCTTCCTTTAGCTCAGATGCTACCTTCTTACAAAGGTCTTCTCTGAACACCTGTTTCGAGTCATCTCCCCAATCCTAATTTCCTTATATGTTTCCTTTTGTATCTCTACCCCTGATTATAATATCAGATCCTTGAGGGCTGGGACTTTGCCCATTCATAGCCTTATCTACTACCAGCCTGGCAGACAGTAACTATCTGTTCAACAAATGAATTTGTCTGAAAGGATCCACACCAATATTGTAGGGCTGTAGCTGTGTACAGTTCTCTTGAGGAAAGAGCCTCTAAAGACTCTCCAGGACTTGGCCTGTGGTGTTCACGGCGGTCTACATTTCCCTCAAAAGGCCCAGGAGGAGTCACAGTGGCAACACGAGACTGCTGGCTCCAGTCTGCTCCACCCTCATGGAGCTGCCTCAGTGATGTCACACAGGGCAGGATTCTCTAATCCTTCTCATTCTGTGACAGTCCTTTAAAATCCTAAGTGTTTCATGACTCGGTATGGTGCGGGGGGAGGGGGATGATGGAGAAAATAGGACTAGGGTGGGAGGTACACCCCTCGCCAACAAAGTTGGTTTAGGGACACTATCCACTGATATGTACTGCTTCAGGAAGAAGTGGGTAGCAGAGGCTGTAATTTGGGCTAAGAGAAGAAAAAGTGACAAGAGACGAATGGGGAAAAGAAGGGCAAAGGAGATTAAAAAAGAACAGAAGAAAGGGAGAAGAGTGATAAAGAGAAAAGAGAGAAGAGGAAGACATATGAAGAGGACATGTGTGAGAAAGAAACGTGGAACAGGTAGTGAAAGTGGAGGAAGAAGAGAGTTGAATCTCAGTCTTCTTGGCTTTGTGACTCTTGAGTAGTGAGTGACTGACTTCAGTGGGAAAGGATGGATGGCTCAGGAGAGGGGAATTCTCAAGTGCTTCCTTGAAGGGTCACTTAAAGAGGGACCTTTATTTTGAGAGGCCCAAGCCAGGATGTCCCATGGGTGACTCTCCTGGGTGGATTCACAATAGTAATTTGGGAACAAGTGATTTAACCTTCACTTTGAACTGTGATTGTGGAGGAAAAGAGGAGAAAGTATTATTGCTAACCAGATTAAGCCTCAGACTCCTCACCTCGGCCCCCATCCTCACCATTACTAGGCTAATCACATACAGTTATATTCAGGACTTAAAAGCCAATCTTTCAGAAAATCCTCCTCTTTGGTAACTGAATTGTAAACAGATTTCTGAAGCAGAGGAGGATAGTATTATACCTATAAAAATTACTAAAATACAATTGTGGAAATATATGCTCGCTGATGTTTCACAGAAAGTCGCTATGAACATCCCAAATATGTGTAGGAGGCCCAAGCAAAGACTTAAGTTCAAACAAAAAGAAAACGTTAACCTTTTTTCAATGTCCTTTCCTCCCTTCTAAATAGTTTGGGTTTTGCCCTTAGCATATTTAGGAAACATAATATTTAGTATAATAATAAGGAAGGGGATATTATAAAATCGAGCTTATTTATTCAGACAATACTAAGATATCTTTCTTCCAAACTTTAAAATGTTATCTTATAACCCATGAGTTTCCTAGTTCATAAAATGTCCCTGCAAGCTGTATCCAGAAATAAGAAATAGTAGGAAGGTACAGCTTTATCAGCAGTCTGTGGTACACTGTGCAGCCTTCTCCAAAATCTCTTTTTGCTCATATTTTCTATTTTTCTGCCTCGTCTGCTATAATTGACCCAAATTCTCCTACAAGTGTAGAACAGAGAGAAGATATGGGAACCTAAGCGGAGGAAGCAGAAAGATAGGAAAGCCCTACAAGTTCACTGTGGTCCACTACTGCCATTGGCTGTCCGGGCTCTGCCTTATGAATAAGATAATTTGTTTTCCAAGGGCACTTCAAATAGTGGTTGCCACATGGGCTTTTCAATTTCAGAATGGTAATGAGTCCACTAGCATGCTAATCATGCTGTTACTTGTTTGAAGTATTAAGGATTTCAATACAGAACCATTTCAAAGATCTTTGATCTAATTCCCCCTCTCCCCCCTTTTTTTGGCAAGTGTATGGAGTAGTAATTAGGAAATGTGTCCTCAGATGATACTGGGACCAAACACATAAGTGAATTTTATTTTCACATTGTATATCTGGAAAAGATCCATCTACATCTTACCCTAAGAAATTCTAACACCATAAATACTGTGTAGAGTGACTGGGTTCCTTGAAGAATTGGCCTCCCAGTGACTATTTGGTGATACTGCTTTATCCTGTTGTCAGGTTCCAGGCCTAAATGTGAAAGGAAGAGAAACTCCCCTTCAAAAAGTCATATAGAAAAAAATTGGAAATGGCTTTCACAGCTTCAAAAACAGCTAAGTGTTCATTGAATGACAGAAAGAAAGAATAGTTTTTTTAAAATTTTTAATTTATTTTTGAGAGAGAGGGAGACAGTGTGAGCAGGGGAGGGTCAGAGAGAGACGGAGACACAGAATCTGAATCAGGCTCCAGGCTCTGAGCTGGCTGTCAGCACAGAGCCTGACGCAGGGCTCGAACCCACAAATCTTGGGATCATGACCTGAGCCGAAGTCGGACGCTTAACCGACTGAGCCACCCAGGCGCCCCAAGAATAGATTGCTTTTGATCTAGGAGGTGGGCCAAGAGAGTGGTTATAGGAGACACAAAGTAGCAGCGTAAAAATTGCTACAGTGAGTTCCTGAGGTAAAAACGGAGAGGCCTCATCACGTATTTACCTTTTTCTTGGCCAGAACACAATTTGGTTAATATTTTCAGGTGTTCTTTTTAACGTACCTGCCTCCTACACTGACCTAGTTGGTTTTTCTTTGTATAAACGAGCGCATCTTTTAAACACACGGATTTTACTTTTAAACTTCTCTTCCAACAAATGTGGTATGGGTCAAATCCATGAACAGGTTAAGCTTCTAATGAGAGGGAAAGACACCCCAGCCAATGGGAACTCGTGGTGGTGATGTACTGCTCCCGGTTCTGATTCATTGGCCGCCTAGGGCTTGTCATTCTATCCCGGCGTCTGCAAACAGCGTGGGTCGGTTTTCCGTAGACCAGCTAGCTAAACTGGATTTTGGCCGCCTGCATGTGCAAGTTGCAATTAGGTTCACTTGATCTCCGACTCTTAACAGTAGCAGCTGTTACGTTTCTGATTATCCACCAGATTTTGACAAATCCTGCGTTCCTTAAAGCTCGCTGGAGGTCCTTGGAGGCCACCCTGTGACAGAATCACGTGACTGTCTAACATGTGCAAATAAATACAATGTGGAATCCGATGACCTACAGATGGAAAACCTGCGAGAAACTCAGAGCATGTGCCCCGTATGTGTACCAGTTGCAGTCGCGTGTGAATGGGTGGTGGTAGGGTGTTGCTGCCCTTCGGGCCAGAGGTGTGTGGTAGCAGAAGCACCTGCGTGGGGCTCCCAGGGTCACTGGTAAGGGTGGTTCCAGACGCTTAAGGCCCTGTGGGAGGGGGTCTGGCGGCGGCCTGCATCCAATAATGCTTTTAAACCACAGCAGCGAGGCGGCAACCAGGCCGCGACTGCGCCGGAAGAGTAGTCGGTCCTCGGTGCTCTGAGAACGGCGTCTGTGCAGGGAGTGGGGTGTGTAGTTAAGACAAGTGGAAGCGCCGGGGCGGGAGGAGCCGACGCCCTAAAGGGGAGCTCCCGAGTCCCGGCTGGACAGACTGCCGGGGCACCTTTACACTCACACACACTGTCCAGCCCCCAAAGCCGGGGGCATAACGACTCCAGTCCCAGTTCTGGTCCGGTATTCGGATGCTTCCTTCGGCCTTCGCCTGGGGCCCTGGCCGCGAGGGGGCTGCGGCTAGAGGAGCAGGGTAGGGCAGTGATGTCATCTGCGGCCGCCCCTCCCCCGCCTGCCGGCCCTCGCCGCAGTTCCTGCCCAACGACATCCGGGTCTCTCCAGCTGCTCCGCCGCGCCGCAGCTGTAGCGGCCGCTGAGCCCGGGGGGGCGGGGCTGACAGAGGAGTCGGGGAGGGGCAGCACGGCGCCTTCGTGAGCGCGCCTGCGCGGGGACGCGCTCGAGGCGGTGGTGGCGGCGGCGCTAGGGGCGGGAGCGCGCGCGGGAGCGAGGGAGCAGTGGTCTCGGCGCCGGCCCGGCCCGCAGCTTCGGGTGCTCGGGCGGCTGCAGCGCCGGAACGGGTGGTTGGGGAGGGGGGGTGGGGGGGCGCCAAGGCAGGTGGGGCGCGAAAGCGATGAATCTTTGGCTCTTCCTCCTCCTCCTTCGGGACCCGCTCTCCGCCTCCCGCTCCAACGCCCGGATGATCTGAGCCGCGAGGGCGCCGAGAGCCGGGGGCCCGGACGCAGCCCGGCTCCTCCCCTCCTCCGCCCCCTCCCCAGCCTGACCTGGCCGGCGGCCGCCGCGGTGACCCCCTTCCAGCCCCCTCCCCGGCCGCCGTCGCCGCTGCTGCCTTGGCCGACAAGGGACCTGCCCGCCCGCGGCTGCTCCGGGTAAGCGCGACGCTCGGGCCGAGGGCGGGCGGGCGGACGGCGCGGGCCTGCGCGGCGGCGGTGGCGGCCAGGCCTGGGCCTGGGGCCTGTAAACAAGCCGGGCGTCTGCCCGGGTGCTCCCGGGAGGAGACACGACAACTCCACCCCCTGGCCCGGCCTCCTCCCCGAAGCCGGGCGGCGGGCGGAGAGGGGTTAACGCTCTGCGAGGGCGGTGGCGGCGGGCAGGCGGGGGCGGGGTGTTGGTGGCGGCGGCGCGGGGAGAGGGCGCGACCCTCCCGCCGCCGAGGCCGGGCGGGTGTTTGTGGCCGCGACGCGGGCGAGGGCCGTAGGCCATCGTGGCCCGAGAGCGGCGGGCGGAACTTTTTTTCCGGGGCGAGGAGTGGGGCGTCGCGGCCCCCCCCACCCCAGCCCGGCCGCCCCAGGCTCCAACCCCTGGGAGGGAGGCCGCGAGAAAGAAGGGGGTTGGCTTCCTCTGGACCGGACTTAGCCTCGAGGCACCAAATTCTGGACGGTTTGCTTCAGGTTTTAAAGGGGGCTGAGCTGAGAGTGAGGCTCCTTCTGAACTCAAGTTCATTCATTATTAAGACATCGAACAAATGCATTGAAATAAATCACACTGATTTTTTCTCATATTTTTAACTATGTAAATTGTATGATAAGTTCTTAACGGTAGAGTTTGATGGTTGAGGTTCTGTTCTGCTTGTAGATTTTACATATTTTCTTGAAAGACAGCTTGGCAACCGCCGTTTAGATACGTTTTGAAAATTTCATCACCTGAGGTCTTTTTCCTTTTCTCAAGCACCGCATGGGATTTATAAATCCACAAAGGTCGTTCTTAAGTTGTCCAAGCCACTTCGCCACTGAATTTTCTGCTAATTGGAATAATGAGCCGCATGAATTTTAAGAAGTGGTTGGAAGAGTAATGGGAGGTGTAAAAATCAATGGGATATAAGTAGTATCTTCCCAGAGTAGATGACTTTGACAATAATGAAAGATATGAGAAATTTAAAAAAAATGTTCTGTGGAAAAAGGGCTTAATCTTTTCAACCTCACATGTTGGGATTTTAAACGCAACCACTTTTTTTTTTTCTTTAGATGCAAAGAGCTCTGAAGTCAGAGGATTTATTTATTTAAACAATGCTCTGCTGAGCCTTCTGAGTTCCAGAGCTCACAGGAGTCCAACTGGACTTACTCGCCAATTCCGCTTTAATTGTGAAGAAAAACTTCACTTCTATACCTTTTATCTTTTTACATACTGGGCCTTTTACAAATACTGTATATCCGTAACTCTTTACAGAGTAGAAAACTGATTAGGGAGAGTGACCCACCCCACTGCCTATTTTCTAATCCTAGATGTTACCTTTGATTTAATGTTTCTTTTGTCAAAAAATTTGAAGCACAAAGTAACATTCCTGGCCTCATGTTATAGTTGTGTTATGTATAACTCACATATATCTGAATAAACTGTCATGTAGGGATGTTTACTTTTAAGTTGCAAGTTGCAGCCATTAATGAGAACTGCACATGGAAGTTGCTTAAGACAATTGTGATTTGATGTCATCAAACATTTTTCACATCAGTGAAGTTAATTTTATTATTGGAGAGGTAGATTAAGACCAGTAAGGTTTGGGCTAGCTGCCTCAGATTATATTTGAGAAATAACTGATAAATGCTAGAGTCATCAAAATTTCTTTTTTTTTGGTGGAAATTTACATAAATTTCTCTAAGCATTCTTTTTTAAAACACAGGTTATTTTTTTTTATATTTTAGTTTGAAGGACTGAAGTGATGACCATAATTACAATATAACCTGTTGAAGGGAACACTGCATTAGGAGATAAGAATTGTTTAGTCCTGGCTGTGCTCCAAAGTATCTGTGTCCATGGACAAATCCTTTAACCTTTTGAGTCTCGCTTACGAATCAGTAAAGCTAAAGTAGTATACTGTATTGTCAAATCCATGTCCAGTTGTTAAAAATTTTTATTCTGTTAACATTGTCTGTTCAGTATGCCTTGACCATACCAGGCATTTAGATGTTTCAGTGTTCTAAAGATGTGTGTTATTTAGAAATAAGTGTCTTACTTAAAATAATTTTAAGTTGGTGATTGTTCTTTAGAGAAGATAGTCCTGGAAGTAGGCTTTATTGATTTTTCTGTTGGGATTGGGAAGTCTAGAAAAACTCTTAGGAGGAAGAGGAAGAACTCTTAGGACAGAGACAGGATTGTTGAGACTGTAGGCTTGAACAAGCACGGGACCCTGGGTAGTTTGATGTGAAGGGCATTATAAGAACGCATTGTATCTTTATGTGAGTTCAAGCCAGGTCTTGCTTATCTTGTTAATAAACCTTTGTCTGAAAATTTGTTTCCTAATACCTAATTTTTTTCAAAGGAATCTATAGCAACATCATGTTGTCACATTGTAAATGTGGCTAAGCGGTTACTAAAACCTTACAGTCTTTGAATTTGTTCAGATTGTATCTAGACTGTTTATTATCATGGCCAACAGTAAGTGTAGCTGATTCTGGTTTAACTATGAATGTTTATTTAATAATTTAAAGACTGACATGTCCACAGAGTTTATTATCCTTGAAATGCTCACCCATGAGAGCTAGATTAATTTCTTAAGGTATAAGTCTGTGATCATGTAGAAATAATTATAGGGTGATATTTTGATGATCCCCTTCCCCCCTCCCAGTGATTTTCGAACTCTTGCCTGAGCACCTGCCTCTGAGTGGTACTGATTACTTTTCATCCTTAGATCAGAGAAGCTAGGCAGCCCTGTAAGAAAATTGGCTCAAGTGGAGTCCTATAAGAGTTAAGCAAGAAGATAAAACAAGGTGTGGCCCTGTGAAATATGTGGACCTTGGGTGAAGGGAAGGTGTGAGGCAATTGGGTAAAAGTTTGTTTCTTCCCGTACCTTTGGTAGTAACTTTATGCCAGAATGTGTTCTGTCTTACATTTCAAATAGTATTCATGGCAAAAATGTTAAAATCCAGTTGCTTCATCTATTGTTGTACTATTAGCCATGAAATTCTCTGAATTTCTTTCTGAGATGACTACCCGCCCTTTTATGAAAGGAGCTTGAGTTAAATGATATCAAAATCAAAATGTTGATGATCTGTTTTCTTCCTTTTCTCTTTCTAATGTCTAATGTACTTTATATTACATGAGTAACAATTTTATATTTGATTGAGTCTCCAGAATATATTCCTTGAAGATTTTGACCTTTGCATGTCCTAGCTGTCTACGTTCTACATAGATAATCTCTTTACCTAGCTTTTCTTTTGCTGAGGCAGGTAGGAGGAGCTAGAGAAAGTAAACGATTAAGAAAGGTGAGCTTCTGTATACCTTTATCTAAAATCTAATAGACTTTAGAATTTCTTAAACTGAGGAAAAAGTACCAGGTGTTAATGTGTATTAATAAAGTAGAGTACTGATATTATGTTTATAAAATAAGATGTTGTAAACATTCCTTGAGTGTGATAAAGGAGGGAGCTTGAGTTTTTATAATTCTTAATATGTTTATTTGAAATTCATTGACTTTATGTAGGATCTGGATTGAAAGTCATTAGTTTTTGTTACTGGTATGATTTGAATTAAAATTCTATGAGACCAAACTACTTCTAGATACAGAAAAAAAGTGAATAATAAGAGCCATAGTTTATTGATTATTTGTCAGGCTGTAATTTTCACCACAACCCTCTATTGTATATTATGTTATCTCTGTTTTACAAATGAGGAAATACAGACTCAAAATCTAAGTAACATGCCAGGATCAGAACTATGTAAATATAAAAGTATTTTCAAAATCTTCCTAAGTGAATTTTTCCTAATTAAATGAGCCTTCTTGTTCCTAGGAGTCAAAAATTGAAAAGCTGAATGTTAACACTAAGATTCAGATTCCTAGAATTAAAAGAGACCTTATAAATTTATGTATAAATTAAGTCTTCCAATACAAGAGTTTCTCTTCTGAAAACATTCAGAAGTAAAATTTATTTTGTCATTCTCCAAGTTTCAAAAGTCAACAGACTTACACAATTTTATGTCTTAGCTATCATTTTTCAGATTGAGGAATGGAATCAATATTCTCAAATGGTTGATATCCTTAATGAAGGATTAAGGTAAATGTTTCTATGTACATACATACAGTCAATAGAACCACATTAAAGGCTTTAGAGGGGAGACGGTGGTAAAATTTCCTAGTGGGGTTATTGGAGCAAGCCACTTGATTTCTTTAAGTCTCAGTTTTCTTTATCTGCCTTATGGAAAAGTGTTTCTTATAAGATATTCTTGAAGATTAAGTAAGATGATCGTGTAAAATACTTCTTCTACCATGAGGAAAGTACTAGATAAATAGTAGCTGCTATTGAGTTTATGAAATCTTCAATATAGGAATAGAGACTTACTGAAATCTTCAATACAGGAATAGAGACTTACTGAGCCTTTGAGCACAGTTTTAGCAGTGAACCTGAAAGCCATACTATAAGAGATTGAGTAGAGACTTTAGAAGAAGTTGTGAAGATTGTAGGCATATGGAGCTGATATATATCTATAAAAGATAAAAAGTTAAGAGGTAATGGAAGAGAGTACGGTTAGATATATTTGACTATAATCTGGAGAGGTCATGGGTTAGGGGTTAATGGTTGGGTGGGAATAGACAGTTAAATAGAGGATAAAGAATAAGAGTAATAAAGCAACAGTGAATGTTTAGACTAGAATGATCAGTAAGTGAGGAAAGACAAGGGTTAGTATTTTGAAGAGGAGTTAGTTTATGATTAGAAATGGGCAAGAAGATACTGCTACAGGAAAAAATGTGAGAGAATGAGAAAACTATTCTAGTTAACCAGTTCTTGTAAAAAAAAAAAAAATAGTCTTTATATAAACGTATTAAGGCTTTACAGGTGGGTCCTGTGTCATTTAAGGTTGAAAAACTGCATTGAAATGCTACAGGTCTTGTCGCTTCATACCCAGAAGTTTTAGCACTTCAGCTGGTCTTTCCCAC